TAGTGCCCCATCATTGGTGTCCAGTGGGAGGAATAATGCCCCATCATTGGTGTCAGTGGGAGGAATAGTGCCCCATCATTGGTATCAGTGGGAGGAATAGTGCCCCATCATTGGTGTCAGTGGGAGGAATTAGTGCCCCATCATTGGTGTCAGTGGGAGGAATAGTGCCCCATCATTGGTGTCAGTGGGAGGAATAGTGCCCCATCATTGGTGTCAGTGGGAGGAATAGTGCCCCATCATTGGTGTCAGTGGGAGGAATAGTGCCCCATCATTGGTGTCAGTGGCAGGAATCATTGTGTCAGTGGGAGGAATAGTGCCCCTTCATTGGTGTCAGTGGCAGGAATAGTGCCCCATCATTGGTGTCAGTGGGAGGAATAGTGCCCCATCATTGGTGTCAGTGGGAGGAATAGTGCCCCCCCTCATTGGTGTCAGTGGGAGGAATAATAGTTGCCCCATTCATCATTGGTATCAGTGGAGGAGGAATAGTGCCCCATCATTGGTGTCAGTGGGAGGAATAGTGCCCCATCATTGGTGTCAGTGGGAGGAATAGTGGGTGTCAGTGGAGGAATAGTGCCCCATCATTGGTGTCAGTGGGAGGAATAGTGCCCCATCATTGGTATCAGTGGAGAAATAGTGCCCCATCATTGGTGTCAGTGGGAGGAATAGTGCCCCCATCATTGGTGTCAGTGGGAGGGATAGTGCCCCATCATTGGTGTCAGTGGGAGGAATAGTGCCCCATCATTGGTGTCAGTGGGGAGGAATAGTGCCCCATCATTGGTATCAGTGGGAGGAATAGTGCCCCATCATTGGTGTCAGTGGGTGGAATTAGTGCCCCATCGTTGCTGTCAGTAGGAGGAATAGTGGCCCCATCATTGGTATCAGTGGGAGGAATAATGCCCCATCATTGGTGGTATCAGTGGGAGGAATAGTGCCCCATCATTGGTATCAGTGGGAGGAATAGTGCCCCATTATTGGTGTCAGTGGGAGGAATAGTGCCCCATCATTGGTGTCAGTGGGAGGAATAGTGCCCATCATTGATATCAGTGGGGAGGAATAGTGCCCCATCATTGGTGTCAGTGGGAGGAATAGTGCCCCATCATTGGTGTCAGTGGGAGGAATAGTGCCCCATCATTGGTGTCAGTGGGAGGAATAGTGGCCCCATCATTGATATCAGTGGGAGGAATAGTGCCCCATCATTGGTATCAGTGGGAGGAATAGTGCCCATCATTGTTGTCAGTGGGAGGAATTGGTGTCAGTGGGAGGAATAGTGCCCCATCATTGGTATCAGTGGGAGGAATAGTGCCCCATCATTGGTGTCAGTGGGAGGAATAGTGCCCCATCATTGGTGTCAGTGGGAGGAATAGTGCCCCATCATTGGTATCAGTGGGAGGAATAGTGCCCCATATGCATTGGTGTCAGTGGCAGGAATAGTGCCCCATCATTGGTGTCAGTGGGAGGAATAGTGCCCCATCATTGGTGTCAGTGGGAGGAATAGTGCCCCATCATTGGTATCAGTGGGAGGAATAGTGCCCCATCATTGGTGTCAGTGGGGAGGAATAGTGCCCATCATTGGTGTCAGTGGGAGGAATAGTGCCCCATCATTGGTGTCATCAGTGGGAGGAATAGTGCCCCATCATTGGTGTCAGTGGAGGAATAGTGCCCCATCATTGATGTCAGTGGGAGAATAGTGCCCCATCATTGGTATCAGTGGGAGGGAATAGTGCCCCATCATTGGTGTCAGTGGGAGGAATAGTGCCCCATCATTGGTGTCAGTGGGAGGAATAGTGCCCCATCATTGGTATCAGTGGGAGGAATAGTGCCCATCATTGGTGTCAGTGGGAGGAATAGTGCCCCATCATTGGTGTCAGTGGGAGGAATAGTGCCCCATCATTGGTGTCAGTGGGAGGAATAGTGCCCCATCATTGGTATCAGTGGGAGGAATAGTGCCCATCATTGGTGTCAGTGGGAGGAATAGTGCCCCATCATTGCTGTCAGTGGGAGGAATAGTGCCCCATCATTGGTGTCAGTGGGAGGAATATTGCCCCATCATTGGTGTCAGTGGGAGGAATAGTGCCCCATCATTGGTGTCAGTGGGAGGAAATAGTGCCCCATCATTGGTATCAGTGGGAGGAATAGTGCCCCATCATTGGTGTCAGTGGGAGGAATAGTGTCCATCATTGGTGTCAGTGGGAGGAATAGTGCCCCATCATTGGTGTCAGTGGGAGGAATAGTGCCCCATCATTGGGGAGGAATGAAAGAAGAAGAAATACAAAGAGAGGGTCCTTGTTGTGTCTTTTATTGTCTTTATTGGTTTATTATATCAGCATTACTGAAGCAATGAAAAATGTCACATTGACCAGCCCCTTCCTTTCCTGAATGAACACAATGAGTGATCAGTACAGATCACTCACTGTGTTCATTCCTAACGGGTTTTTGGTGTTTTTTTTTTTAATTGGGGGGGGGGGCCCTTTCAGGTTTGCTGTATGGGGCCCCGGCGTTTCTATCAGGGGTATAAAGAAACAAGAGTCGGGGGACGGGACTGAAGGAACGGTGTCTGTCGGGATTCACGCGCTGCACACATCTCACCCAGTACAGGACATCCGTCCAGCCCTCCATGGTGATGCACTGGAAGACGGTCAACATGGCGAAAAAGAAATTGTCGAAGTTGGTGATGCCGCCGTTGGGCCCCTCCCACTTGCCGCGGCACTCCGTGCTGTTCACATGACATTCCCTCCCGTGGCCGGAGAACGCGCAGGGCGCAGGCTCCTCCTCCGCGGGCAGTTCTGTGAATGGAAGAGAGATAGAGGACACGTCAGCTTCGAATAACACGGGATTACAGTAGAAAATGGCATTTAACCCACTCCAGAGGATTCACCCCCCCTCCAGAGGATTCACCCCCCCTCCAGAGGATTCAACCCCCTCCAGAGGATTTCACCCCCCCTCCAGAGGATTCAACCCCCCTCCAGAGGATTCACCCCCCCTCCAGAGGATTCAACCCCCTCCAGAGGATTCACCCCCCCTCCAGAGGATTCAACCCCCCCTCCACTGGATTCACCCCACCTCAAGAGGATTCACCCTCCCTCAACAGGATTCACCCCCCCTCCACAGAATTCACCCCCCTCCACAGGATTCAACCCCCTCCAGAGGATTCACCCCCCTCCAGAGGATTCACCCCCCCTAGAAGATTCAACCCCCCCTCCACAGGATTCACCCCACCTCCACAGGATTCAACACCCCCTCCAGAGGATTCACCCCACCTCCAGAGGATTCACCCCCCTCCAGAGGATTCAACCCCCCCTCCACTGGATTCACCCCACCTCAACAGGATTCACCCCCCCTCCACAGGATTCACCCCCCCTCCAGATGATTCACCCCCCGCTAGAGGATTCACCCCACCTCCAGAGGATTCACCCCCCTCCAGAGGATTCACCCCCCCTCCAGAGGATTTAACCCCCCCTCAAGAGGATTCACCCCCCCTCCACAGGATTCACCCCCCTCCACAGGATTCACCCTCCCTCCAGATGATTCACCCCCCGCTAGAGGATTCACCCCCCCCCTCCAGAGGATTCACCCCCCCAGAGGATTCACCCCCCCCCACCCCCTAGAGGATTTACCCTCCCCTCCAGAGGATTCACCCCCCTACAGAATTCACCCCCCGACCAGAGGATTCACCCTTCTCAGGAGGATTTACCCCCCTAGAGGATTCACCCCCCCCCCCAGAAGATTCACTCCCCCTCTAGGGGATTTACCCTACCCTCCAGAGGATTCACCCCCCTCCAGAGGATTCCCCCCTCCTCTAGAGGATTCAACCCCCCTCCACAGGATTCACCCCACCTCCAGAGGATTCACCACCCCCCCCCCCCCATCCCCGACTCGGCCATTTTTGGCAATACAGCGCTGCGTTACTTTAACTGACAATTGCGCGGTCGTGCAACACTGCACCCAAATGAAATTTATGTTCTTTTTTTTCCCATAAATAGAGCTTTCTTTCGGTGGTATTTGATCGCCTCTGCGCTTTTTTTTTTTTTTTTTGCGCTATTAATTATTATTTATTATTTTCTATTAAACATGTCCAGTAAAAAAAATCAAAATAAAGTTTCATCATAAAATTAGGTCAAAATGTATGCTGCAAAAAAAAAAGACAATTTTGAGAAAAAAAAACAAACAATATTTTTGACTTTTTGCTATTAACCACTTCCAGTCCGGACACTTTCCCCCCCCCTTCCAGTCCGGACACTTTCCCCCCCTTCCAGTCCGGACACTTTCACTCCTTCCAGTCCGGACACTTTCACCCCCTTCCAGTCCGGACACTTTCACCCCCCTTCCAGTCCGGACACTTTCCCCCCCCTTCCAGTCCGGACACTTTCACCCCCCTTCCAGTCCGGACACTTTCACCCCCCTTCCAGTCCGGACACTTTCACCCCCCTTCCAGTCCGGACACTTTCACCCCCCTTCCAGTCCGGACACTTTCCCCCCCTTCCAGTCCGGACACTTTCACCCCCTTCCAGTCCGGACACTTTCACCCCCTTCCAGTCCGGACACTTTCACCTCCTTCCAGTCCGGACACTTTCACCCCCCTTCCAGTCCGGACACTTTCCCCCCCTTCCAGTCCGGACACTTTCACCCCCCTTCCAGTCCGGACACTTTCACCCCCTTCCAGTCCGGACACTTTCACCCCCTTCCAGTCTGGACACTTTCACCCCCCTTCCAGTCTGGACACTTTCCCCCCCCCTTCCAGTCCGGACACTTTCCCCCCCCTTCCAGTCCGGACACTTTCACCTCCTTCCAGTCCGGACACTTTCACCCCCTTCCAGTCCGGACACTTTCCCCCCCCTTCCAGTCCGGACACTTTCCCCCCTTCCAGTCTGGACACTTTCCCCCCCTTCCAGTCTGGACACTTTCCCCCCCCCCCTTCCAGTCCGGACACTTTCCCCCCCTTCCAGTCCGGACACTTTCCCCCCTTCCAGTCCGGACACTTTCACCCCCTTCCAGTCCGGACACTTTCCCCCCCTTCCAGTCCGGACACTTTCCCCCCCTTCCAGTCCGGACACTTTCCCCCCCTTCCAGTCCGGACACTTTCCCCCCCTTCCAGTCCGGACACTTTCCCCCCCCTTCCAGTCCGGACACTTTCACCCCCTTCCAGTCCGGACACTTTCACCCCCTTCCAGTCCGGACACTTTCCCCCCCTTCCAGTGCGGACACTTTCCCCCCCTTCCAGTCCTGACACTTTCCCCCCTTCCAGTCCGGACACTTTCACCTCCTTCCAGTCCGGACACTTTCACCCCCTTCCAGTCCGGACACTTTCCCCCCCCTTCCAGTCCGGACACTTTCCCCCCCTTCCAGTCCGGACACTTTCCCCCCCCCAGTCCGGACACTTTCACCCCCCTTCCAGTCCGGACACTTTCCCCCCCCCCTTTCAGTCCGGACACTTTCACCCCCTTCCTGCCTAGGCCAATTTCCCGATTTCAGCGCTATCACGCTTTGAATGACAATTGCGCGGTCATGCAAACACTGTACCCGTATGAATTTTTTAGCATTTTTTTAAACAGATAAAACTTTATTTTGGTGGTATTTATTCACCGCCGGGATTTTTATTTTTTTGCTATGTAAATGAAAAAGTCCAAAAATTTTGAAAAAAAAGTGTTTTTTCTTATACAATTTTGCAAATAAATAATATTTCATCATAAAATCTCGGCCAAAATGTATCCCGTTATATTTTTAGTAAAAACAAAAATAACCAAAATTAGTTTATAACCACAAATTATAATTTGTACACATTTTTCTTTTATTTTTTTTATATTATTTTTTTTTTTTACATACTGTCACCCTAGCAGTGCAGTCACCATGGTGACACTGTACTACTTGTGGGGGGTGATGAAGATTTTTTTTTTTTTTTTACACTGATTGCTTTTACACCCATAAAGGCTGTAAAAGCAATAATTTCTCCTTCTCTCTGGCTGCATTCTTGCAGCCATTGAGAAATACTGTGAGAGCTGTGATTGGTCACAGCTTGTCACATGGTACAAGGCTGTTGTGAATAGCCCTGTACCATGTGATCTCTGTGATCATTCACAGATTTCACACGTAGTAAGCAATGATGTCAGAAGTGACATCTTGCTTACTACTCTGCATGTGATCACTGATTGGCCAAGGAGGACACAGTGGGCACCGGATCGTGGTGCTGTGCGCTCCCAGGGAGCGCGCACAAGCAGGGGGTGGGGAGGCCGTTTATAAGCGCCACCCGCCCCTGCACTGCTACCATCCGGCCATTTATATACAACCAATCAGTGATCACATGAAGAGTAGTAAGCAAGATGTCACTTCTGACATCATTGCTTACTACGTGTGAAATCTGTGAATGATCACCGAGGTCACATGGTACAGAGCCATTCACAACAGCCTTGTACCATGTGACAAGATGTGACCAATCACAGCTCACACAGTATTTCTCAATGGCTGCAAGAATGCAGACAGAGAGAAGGAGAAATTATTGCTTTTACAGCCTTTATGGGTGTAAAAGCAATCGGTGTAAAAAAAAAAAAAAAAAAAAAATCTTCATCACCACCCCCACAAGTAGTACAGTGTCACCATGGTGACCTTGTACTGCTAGGGTGACGGTATGTAAAAAAAAAACCCAAAAACATAAATAATAATATAAAAAAAAATATAAAAATGTAAAAAATGTTTTTGAAAAATTATAATTTTTGGTTATAAACTAATTTGGGTTTTTTTTTTTACTAAAAAGATAACGGAATAAATTTTGGCCAAGATTTATGATGAAATATTATTTATTTGCAAAATTTTCTAAGAAAAATACTTTTTAAAAAAATGTTTGGATTTTTCATTTATATAGGAAAAAAAATAAAAATCCCAGTGCTGAATAAATACCACCAAAATAAAGCTTTATCTGTCTCAAAAAAATGCTAACAAATTCATATGGGTCCAGTGTTGCATGACCGTGCAATTGTCATTCAAAGTGTGACAGTGCTGAAAGCTGAAAATTGGTCCGGACTGGAAGGGGGTGAAAGTGTTTCCGGACTGGAAGGGGGGGGAGTGTCCGGACTGGAAGGGGGGGTGAAAGCGTCCGGACTGGGAAGGGGGGTGAAAGCGTCCGGACTGGAAGGGGGGGAAAGTGTCCGGACTGGAAGGGGGGTGAAAGTGTCCGGACTGGAAGGGGGTGAAAGTGTCTGGAATGGAAGGGGGGGAAAGTGTCCGGACTGGAAGGGGGTGAAAGCATCTGGACTGGAAGCGGGTGAAAGCATCTGGACTGGAAGCGGGTGAAAGTGTCCGGACTGGAAGGGGGTGAAAGTGTCCGGACTGGAAGAGGGAGAAAGTGTCCGGACTGGAAGAGGGAGAAAGTGTCCGGACTGGAAGGGGGGGGAAAGAGTGTCCGGACTGGAAGGGGGGGAAGTGTCCGGACTGGAAGGGGGTGAAAGTGTCCGGACTGGAAGGGGGTGAAAGTGTCCGGACTGGAAGGGGGTGAAAGTGTCCGGACTGGAAGGGGGGAAAGTGTCCAGACTGGAAGGAGGTGAAAGTGTCCGGACTGGAAGGGGGTGAAAGTGTCCGGACTGGAAGGGGGGGAAAGTGTCCGGACTGGAAGGGGGTGAAAGTGTCCGGACTGGAAGGGGGGTGAAAGTGTCCGGACTGGAAGGGGGTGAAAGTGTCCGGACTGGAAGGGGGGGAAAGTGTCCGGACTGGAAGGGGGGGAGTGTCCGGACTGGAAGGGGGGTGAAAGCGTCCGGACTGGAAGGGGGGTGAAAGCGTCCGGACTGGAAGGGGGGGGGGTCTCGGAAAGTGGCGTCCGGACTGGAAGGGGGGGGGGGAAAGTGTCCGGACTGGAAGGGGGGAAAGTGTCCGGACTGGAAGGGGGGAAAGTGTCCGGACTGGAAGGGGGGAAAGTGAAAGTGTCCGGACTGGAAGGGGGGGAAAGTGTCCGGACTGGAACCGGACTGGAAGGGGGGGAAAGCGTCCGGACTGGAAGGGGGGAAAGTGTCCGGACTGGAAGGGGGTGGAAAGCGTCCGGACTGGAAGGGGGATGAAAGCATCTGGACTGGAAGCGGGTGAAAGCATCTGGACTGGAAGGGGGTGAAAGCATCTGGACTGGAAGCGGGTGAAAGTGTCCGGACTGGAAGGGGTGAAAGTGTCCGGACTGGAAGAGGGAGAAAGTGTCCGGACAGGAGGGGGGAAAGTGTCCGGACTGGAAGGGGGGAAAGTGTCCGGACAGGAAGGGGGGAAAGTGTCCGGACAGGAAGGGGGTGAAAGTGTCCGGACTGGAAGGGGGGAAAGTGTCCGGACTGGAAGGAGGTGAAAGTGTCCGGACTGGAAGGGGGGGGAAAGTGTCCGGACTGGAAGGGGGTGAAAGTGTCCGGACTGGAAAGGGGTGAAAGTGTCCGGACTGGAAGGGGGGTGTGAAAGTGTCCGGACTGGAAGGAGGTGAAAGTGTCCCCCGGACTGGAAGGGAGTGAAAGCGTCCGGACAGGAAGGGGGGAAAGTGTCCCCGGTCTGGAAGGGGGTGAAAAGTGGTCTGGACTGGAAGGGGGGGAAAGTGTCCCGGACTGGAAGGGGGTGAAAGTGTCCGGACTGGAAGGGAGTGAAAGTGTCCGGACTGGAAGGGAGTGAAAAGTGTCCGGACTGGAAGGGAGTGAAAGCGTCCAGACAGGAAGGGGTGTGAAAGTGTCTGGACTGCAAAGGGGGTGAAAGTGTCCGGACTGGAAGGAGGTGAAAGTGTCCGGACTGGAAGGGGTGAAAGCGTCCGGACTGGAAGGGGGTGAAAACGTCCGGACTGGAAGGGGGTGAAAAGTGTCCGGACAGGAAGGGGGGGAAAGTGTCCGGACTGGAAGGGGGTGAAAGCATCTGGACTGGAAGGGGGTGAAAGTGTCGGACTGGAAGGGGGGGAAAGTGTCCGGACTGGAAGGGGGTGAAAGTGTCAAAAAATACATATTTGGGGTTTTTCTGCCAGAAATCTTCAGTCCTGGAAGGATCTCGAGGGTCCCGACTTACCTGATGCGATGTAGAAGCAGGTTTTGTGCATCCCTGCCCAATGAAGAGTTCCAGCCCAATGATGGCGTAAATGATGATGACGAACAAGACGAGGAGAGCGATGTGCAGTAGAGGGACCATGGCCTTCATGATGGAGTTCAGCACAATGTGTAAACCTGCAAGAAAAAACAACAGGCAGCGTAAAGCAAGGGACGCACACATGAGGATCAAACAAAAAATACACATCTCCCCATCAACAAAATCCCCCATTAGAATACAGACAGATCAGAGCTCACAGCCATTGGCTGCAAGCGTTGATCGATTTCTGCTTTTCCAGCATGCCCGTTGGACAGAAGCCGGTGTGACTGCAGAACTCAATCATCCTGTGAAGACTGAGACTGAGCTATGCAGTCACTTTTTGTTGTTTTTCCTATTCCAGGTCACAATCCTTCGGTCTCTTTCGGTCCAGTCGACCGCGCTTACGGTTATCAGCCGCAATTTTACGACCCGGAAACTGTATATGCGGTCATAACCTTTCACCTCGCAACGCGGAAAATAAATGTGGCAAATTCAGGTCACAGAGGCATTAGCTAAGCGACACCAACAACTCGCCCTCTTTGAAGCTCCATAATCCACATGGAAGAAAAATACAGTTGTGACCAAAATTATTCAACCCCAAATGCTGTAAAGGGGTTTAGGGACTATAGTGTACATTTGGAATTGTATTCAGAATCAAATCCTACAAGGACGTTGTAACTACCCAAATGCAACTAAAAATGACATCAATTGTTTATGTAATACAGTAGTAAATGGTTCTTATGTGGTTTCTTCATTGCCACAATTATTCAACCCCTAAAGACTACCACTCTGAAGAACAGAGGTTCATACAGGTGCTTTCCATCAGGTATTGAAAACACCTGTGGATGTCACACGAGCAGCAATCAAGCATAATAAGCACCAATTAGGCAGCTTTAAAATGACTGTGATACTCAGCTCCTTCTAGACATTTACTGGTGTGGTTACAAACATGGTGAAGGCAAGAGAATGGTCCAGGAAGACAAGAGAAGAGGTGATTTCTCTTCACAGGAAGGGCAATGGCTATAAGAAGATTGCAAAGATGTTAAACATACCAAGAGACACCTTAGGAAGCATCATTCGCAAATTCAAGGCAAAGGGCACTGTTGAAACGCTACCTGGTCGTGGCAGAAAGAAGATGCTGACTTCGACTGCTGTGCGCTACCTGAAGCGTAGAGAGTGGAGAGAAGTCCCCGTGTGACTGCTGAGGAACTGAGAAAAGATTTGTCAGATGTGGGTACAGAAGTTTCAGCCCAGACAATAAGACGCACACTGCGTAATGAAGGCCTCCGTGCCAGAACTCCCAGGCGTACCCCCTTGCTGTCTCCAAAAGAATAAGAAGAGTCGACTGCAGTATGCCAAAAGCCATGTGGACAAACCACAAAAGTTGTGGGATAGTGTTCTGTGGACTGATGAAACAAAATTAGAACTGTTTGGGCCCATGGATCAACGCTATGTTTGGAGGAGGAAGAACAAGGCCTATGATGAAAAGAACACCTTGCCTACTGTGAAGCATGGTGGAGGGTCAATCATGCTTTGGGGCTGTTTTGCTTCTGCAGGTACAGGGAAGCTTCAGCGTGTGCAAGGTACCATGAATTCTCTTCAGTACCAGGAGATATTGGATGGAAACGTGATGCAGTCCGTCACACACCTGAGGCTTGGGAGACGTTGGACCTTTCAACAGGACAATGATCCCAAGCATACCTCCAAGTCCACTAGAGCATGGTTGCAGAGGAAAGGCTGGAACATTTTGGAGTGGCCATCGCAGTCACCAGACTTAAATCCGATTGAGAACCTCTGGTGGGACTTAAAGAAAGCAGTTGCAGTGCGCAAGCCTAAGAATGTGACTGAACTGGAGGCCTTTGCCCATGAAGAATGGGCGAAGATACCCGTAGATCGCTGCAAGACACTTGTGTCAAGCTATGCTTCACGTTTTAAAAGCTGTTATAACTGTAAAAGGATGCTGTACTAAGTACTAAGATTGAATGTCACTTGGGGGTTGAATAAAACTGATAATGCTGTGAGCACAGAAAAGACATTTGTGGTTATTTCATTATAACTGTTATGTTATATTTGTCTGACCTACAAGTGCCTCTTTAATGTAAATGTAAGCAAGATGACTGAATGATCAAAAAGCAATGTCAAACTGGCCAAAACACTAAATAGTTTTTTTATATATACAAAATATATGATAAATATTTTTAAAAATATATATTTATTAAATA